ATGGAAGAGAGGAATGAAAGGGGAAGAAAGAGGAAGGAAGGGGGAAGGAAGAGAGGAACAAAAAGGGAAGGAAGAGAGGAAGGAAGAAATGGGATGGAAGAGAGGAATGAAAGGGGAAGGAAGAGGAACGAAGGGGGAAGGAAGAGAGGAAAGAAGGGGGAAGAAAGAGAGGAACCAAGGGAAGGAAGCAGAGGTGGGATTCAGCAGGTTCTGACTGGTTCTGGAGAATGATAGTGACAATTTTGAGCAGTTCGGAGAACCGGCCAATCCCACCTCTGACTGGCCCCGTCCCTATCTCTGGGTGGGGAGGGAATAAGGATTTTGCAGTAACCTCCCCCTGGAGTGGGGTGGAGATGGGGATTTGACAATATTCTTTCCCTGCCATGCCCACCAAACCAAGCCAAGCCACGCCCACCAAGCCCCACCCACCGAACCGGCAGTAATAAAATTTGAACGCCACCCCTGGTCGTAAGTTGAGAACTACCTGTGGGAATTTTCTCTGAGCTCTTTATGCCGTCTTTCGGCGATATAAGCCCAACCCCAAAATGAAGAAGGGGCTCAGGTAACAATGGAGCATCCCCCATCCTTCCGACAGGCCCAGAAAGGTGTCGAGATGTACCAGAAAACGGCAACTTTGGGAAAAAGTCATTTCCTCCTGAAGCATGTCCAGAAAGACCGCGACCCCGTAGGGACCCCAAAAGAGATAGACAACCCAGCTGATGTTCCAACGGGGGTTTCCACATCCATTGAGACACAGTGTGGCTAAGACCACGCTGAGTGGGAGGAAGACCAGGATCACCAAACAGAAGGACACGTGGACCAGGGACCAGGCGTGGAGCTCAGTGTTACGATCTGGGATGCAAAGCCCATTGGTGCTGCTCACCAACACAGCTGGGACGGCGCATAGGAAGCCCATCATCCACATCAGGGTGGGCAGAAGCGGCCGGGAGAGACCCCAGGGGCTTTGGCAGGCGGTGGCAGCCGCCAGCAAACCCTGAGCGAAGAGGCTGCCGAATTTGAGTCCGTGGATCACCTGACAGAGACGGTCTTCAAAGGCCCACCTCCAGCCCATGCCCAGGGTGAAAAACGGCAACGTGGCGGTATAGATGACCCCTCCGAGGGCGAGTAGGACGAGCTCCGCTTTGCCCGGTTGGCACCGATCCCAAAACCGAGGGCATTTGGTCAAGGCAATGCCGAGCGCCACGTTGCCAACAATTCCCAGGAGGCAGGTGATCCCTAGGAAAACTGGAATCCCGCCGATGAAGCGGGAACAAAATGTGAACTGGCAGGGTTCCACAAAGTTTTGATACTCCTCATCTTCCTCCCATGTTTCGTTCTGGGTGAAGTTGTCCATCAGCTGCCAGAAGTCATGGTTGTTTGCGAACACCGTGTACACGGTGCTGTTGCCTAAATCCTGCTGGTGGGAGAGAGGAGATAGAGAGGTGTGAGTGGGGTGGAAAGTACAAAAGGATGTAGGAAGAATTATACAGGTTAACGGAAGGGACCTTGTAGCTCATCTAGTCCAACCCACCCCCCATCCAAGCAGGAGACCCCTACACTGTTTCTGACAGAGGGCAGTCCAGTCTCTGCTTGAAAGCCTCCAGGGATGAACCTCCCACAACTTCCGAGGGCAACTTCTGTTCCGTTGGTTGATTGTTCTCCCTATCAGGAAATTCCTCCTTATTTCCAGGTTAAATCTCTCCTCGGCAGGGGTGGGTTTTAGATTTTTTTTTTAACAAGTGGTTTTGTGGGCAGGGCTAGGTGAGCGTGGCCAGGTGGGAAGGGCCATGTGACTGGTTGGGCGTGGCATCTCATTTTCTTTTTCTTACAGCATCTTCCCCCCCCCGTGCTCCGTTTTTGGGCCTTCTGGGCCTCAGGATCGCAGCACAGCTGATCGTCGGAACAGCTGATCGTTGGGAGAAAAAAAAAAGAAATACCTTAAGGAGCGACTGGGCGGGGGAGAATGCAGTCAGTGATGACATGCATGCGCGATAAGGATTGACTGGGAGGGGAGGGGATGTGTGGGCGGAGAGGGGCGGGGCCAGCCAGGGGTACAATTTGCCGGTTCTCTGAACTGTGCAGAATCATAGCAACCGGTTCTATAGAACCGGTCCGAACCAGTAGAATTCTACCCCTGCTCCTTAATCAGTTTCCATCCATGATTCCTTGTCTGGCCTTGGGGTGCTTTGAGGAATAGCTTGACCCCTTTCTCCTCTCTGGGGCAGCCCCTCAAATACCGAAAGACTGCTATCCTGTCCCCCGCAACTCTTCTTTTCTTTAGACTAGCCAGACCCAAAACCTGCACCCCTTCTTCCTGGGGTTTGGTCTCCAGGCCTTTGATCATCTTCCTTGCTCTTCTCTGAACTTTTTCCAAAGTCCCAATGTCTTTTCTGTAGTATGGGGACCAAAAATCGGTTGCCGCGTTCCAGGTGTGGCCTTACTAGGATGATGATACGGCCGAGAACATCGGAAGGGCGGCATGTGGAAGATGTCATTTCTCTTTGTACAAAAATCTGGTGTGGGGGAAAAATATGGGGCCTAGGGGAGTTTTTGCAGATCTCAAGGTGGAAAAACTGCAGGAGGATTTGTGGGTGTTTGCGCTTAAGATTTCAAAGAGTGGAGGATCTATTTGGCTCGGAAAAGTGGGGGAAAGAGTTACTGAAGGACACACTTGCTTGGCATGTGAATTTGTTTCCCTCCCAGACGTTTCCTTTGATAACTTTATGCCTCCCTTGCTAGGCTGCTGCTCGGAATTAATGGAAATTTATCTCTCACCGTAGCCTTTCCTTAAACACATTTATTATCGGGGAGTGATGTTGATGGCTTGGCAAGCGGCATGGGAAAAAACCAGCTTCTGGGAGGCTGAGAGAGAGCTGCCCCAAAGGGGACGTTGAGAGCGAAATGTTGGGAAGGAGAAGGAGAAGGGAGAAGAGGAAGGGGAAGAGGAATAGGAAAAGAAGGAAGAGAGGGAGGAGGAGGAGAAGAAGAGAGGTGATAATGTTGATGGAAGTGGAGGAGGAGGAAAAGGAGGAGGAGATGAAGAGGAAGGAGGAAAAAGAGGGAGAGAAGGAGAAGGAAGAGGAGAAGGAGAAGAGAAGGAAGAGAAGGAGAAAGAGGAGGAAAGGAGAAGAAGGAGAAGGAGGAAGAGGAAGAGAAGGAGAAGGAAG